CCCTGTGTCTCCTCAGGAATTACAGGGGGGAGGGAGGACACTAAGGAGCCCTTCTCTGTTAGCACAGCCTGCTACCATCACATTTCCAGGAACGTAAAAGAGAAGCGCTGCACAGCCCACTGTCACCACCGTGGCTGCACTCAGATGCAGACACGCAGCACCAATGTGCTGCACAATACTAAGCTAAACAGAGATCACGATCATTGTTAATACAACCAAACAGTGAAAAACTCCTATTCTTTTGCTACATCTTCATGCAACTGCAGGGTGTTCAATCTGCTCTCCTGCATAAGGGCTGCCACTTTCAATTGGTTTTCTAAACCTTAGTAGCTTCAGTACGGAGCTCACTTGTGGCGTACAAACAGGCTATTGCGTGTGTCTCCCTGTGGGCCTCTTAGGACTCAGAAGAGCTCTGAGACAGTAAAATCCCTCTGGCAAGAACAACATCTGCAGAAACCTTTGTCCTCATTTCCCCCAGCTTCTCATACACAGCCATAGCCCCTGCTCAGCCTGCAGCCTTTGGGTAGGCACAGATTGAGCAAGCTAAGGACAAAAGGGGTTTCACCCCCCTCCTAGTGCCACCCCCAGTAATCCCCTCAACACTCCACTTGCCCCAACGCTCTATATGAGCCTCTCTGAAAGAATTCATCTCTCCTCAGCCTGACCTACAGATTGGCTGCCTCTGTCGCTGCAATCTCCCTCTTCCCTCTGCTCAAACCTTCCCAGGTCTGAGGTCTCACTCACTCAGTTGTGCAGCTTACAGCAGAACAAGGCAAGTGCTGAGCATGTGTGAAACGTTGCTCTCATCCCCTGGTACTATTTCACACCTGCTTTGGACTGCTGCAAACTAATGAAGGAAATGCCTTCTCTGTATGTGATAGCTCCTGTCTTGTTTGGTCGGGATGAAGGCAATGGCTGCTTGCATTTTACTGCTCCAGGCACGTGCACCTGCAGAAGGACTTGCACCTTCCATGGCGTGACCACCAGCTCGTGCAGGGGGCCTGGGGTGTCAAAGGGTGCCACAAAGAGCAAGGCGGGGGCACAGGCATTGCACTGAGTCTGTAAAGCACTTCACAGTGCACATGGACCAGACATTATCAGTCCAGACGGTTTAGAAGAAAGAGGGTAACTGCCAAATGCACATCAAGAGGTGCATTTGGTGCTGCCAGACACAGTCTGGCCAATTGGTAGGATTTTGTAGCAGACACTGCCTCCCCTTGTACACAGCATATCTTGTTAGTATCTACCCTCTCCTTCTCTTCATTTAGTGCATCCCCAGTTCAGGTATCACTGAGTACTTCCCTCCAGGCTCACAGTCACACAATTCCCAGCATCAGCAGAATGGCACTGGGACTGGAAGAGTCTCTAGAGATGGATCCGTTAGGAGTTTAGCTGGGGCAGGCCCCCACAGTAGCTCACTCTGCTGACACACACCGTTCCTGCCTTCGTGACTGCATATGGACACGTGACACAGCCTTGGTGGCACAGCTGAGGGCTTTGCAGAGCTCTGACCATCTTTTGGCCTTTTGTTAGTGCTGGGGTGGACTCAGGCCTAGCACTACTTTTACTGCCTGGGCTCATTAGAAACTGGAGGATCATCTGCACTACTTTAACTTGCTTGAAACACACTTGATGTAAGTGCCAGAAGGCTTTGACCAGTTGGCACCCACTGGAAGTGCTAGAGTTGCCTTTCCTGTTTTCACATGCTTTTATTGTTTCTTTCCATTAGCTTTTACTGCTTGATTGCATTTGATTTCATTGTTTGAAAAAGTATTTCCTGTTTATTGCAATATCTGCTCTCATGCGAGTCCACTGTTGTGGAAGGTCTCAGTCAGCCATGGGAGCAAAGAGGTTGTTTCAGCTGCACAGAGCTCCAGGCCAAGCCATACACAGCCATAGCCAGCCCTGCAAAGCAGAAGGGTCAAAGAAGAGCAGATAAAAGCATTAGCTTAGAGAAAATAGGTGTGCATAGATATGGGCTATTACTTCCCCTGGACAGCTGGAGGAAGGGACAGCTGGGAACAGCTTCTCCAGCTATTGTGTGCACCTCCCAGCAGGTTCTCCATGCACCAGTCAGCCAGGCCTCCGTCACAGGCTTCCTGGCTCTCACAGGCAACTGAAGCAGAGATATGTGTCCTTTTTAAAGCAGAACGACTCCTCCTGCCACCATTTTCTCCCCATTCTTTCATAGGTTCTGAAGATACTACAGGCAGGGAGGATACTATCATGAAGCGGAAGCCAGCGTTCAGTCTGACCCTAACAGCTCTCCTTTCCCCTTCAAGCTGCTAAACACACATTTGCTCCCCGTGTGGTAGCTGCAGAGGGAACAGAGACTTTCCTAGTGACAGGCTGTGTCGGCAGCAAGTGACTGCATGCCTCGGGGCAGAGAGGGCTTGGCAGGCTCACTGAGTGAAAGTATGACAAGTCCATCAGTGTCAGACAGACGCAGTGCATACCAGCAGGCTGGAGCTGTGGGGCATCTGGGCACCATGCACCTCTCAGAGCAGCTGACACGAAGAGCCAAAAAGTGACAAGCAGAGCTCACAGCACAGTGAGGGAGAAGCTCTTCCCATGGTGAAGAGCACTAAGTGGCTAGGGGGGCAGCCGGTAGGACATGTGTCCTGTCATTGCTTCAGTACAGTCAGAGAAGCCCACGGATGCAAAACCAGGTAGGACCTCCTGTATATCTGAGATAGGGGTCCAGCACAGAAATATCTTTAGGGCTGTTGTAACCTTGCAGGCAATGAGGGTGCCTACTGCCTTCCTACCAACAAACTGATTTGCTAAAAAAGCCTTAAGTGCCTGGGGTTGCCAACGACCAAACTTCTCCACATGTGGGGACCTGTATGCTCGTTCTCTAGGGGCATCAGACCAGGGTGAGCTAAACACAGACCTCCTTGAATGTCATCTTCCCTGCTTTGAAGTTCAATACCTGCTCAGAAATCTTCTGCACTTACTGCACAACTCACTGCTGCTAGCCCCAGCTCCCTCTTTACCTACCCTGTGGGAAGAGGACAAGCCCAGCAAAGCAGGCAGGAAGATCCCTGTTGTTGCAAAGACCCTGTGCGGACTGCATAGAGCTTTACCACTTTTTGATGGGTATGATCAGAAAAGTCTACCATGAGCTGCAAAGGGGCAAGAAAAACTCATCAGTGAGGACCTCTGCTAAAGGCACCTGATCTTGGAAGCAGAAGGCAGGATCAGCAGGGAGTCACTAGGGCTGACATCTGGCAGCCCCCACAGGAGGCAGCTTGACAGAGAGGAACGTTAACTATCCCAGTGGCCAGCTGACAAACCCAGGGCTGTGCTAACACAGAGTCACTGTGAACACAGTCTGATCGCGTATCTGTGCCAGATCCTATATTATCTCCCAGAAGGACCTGGCATAGCACCTCATGATACTACAGCTTTCAAGTGCTGCCCTCCTGCAGCCGGGGTGCAGATATGACAGGTCAGCCCCAAAGGCTCATCAAGACAGAGGCGATGTCCCTCTGACTTTACAATAGAACTACATGTGCAATCACTCTGTCATCCAGTTCTGCCACAGCTATCGGCTCTAGCTTGAGCACTTTTCATAACAGTTTTTAACATAGGTTCTTTCTGAATCAGAGAGCAACCAGAGGTGCGCCTGTGTAGGCAAGCTGGAGAATCACAAAATCACAGAATCCCAGCATGCCTGAGGTTGGAAGGGACCTCTGGAGATCTAGTCCAACCCCCCTGCTCAAGCAGGGGCACATTGCCCATGACCCTGTCCAGATGGCTTCTGAATATCTCCAGGGAAGGAGATTCCACAAGCTCTCTGGGCAACCTGTTCCAGTGCTCAGTTACCCTCGCAGTAAAGAAGTTTTTCCTCATGTTCAGACAGAACTGCCTATGTTTCAGTTTGTGCCCATTGCCTCTCATCCTATCACTGGGCACCACTGAGAAGAATCTGGCCTCATCCTCTTGACACCCTCCCTTCAGATACTTATACACATTGATAAGACCCCCCTCAGTCTTCTCTCCTCCAGGCTGAACAGCCCCAGCCCCCTCAGCCTTTCCTCGTATGAGAGATGCTCCAGTCCCTTAATCATCTTAGTAGCCCTTCACTGGACTTGCTCCTGGAGCTCCATGAGTCTCTGAAGGCTGTAATTTCTGTTAGCAGGAAGCAAAGCAGTGGCATACGGGGCAGGGGGTCACCCTGCCCCATTGCAGCCCGATAGTGCTCCTACCCAAGCCTCATTCCCCATTTGTTTGCATTAGCAGAGAACTGAACAAAATGACTGCAGGTGAGGAGGGGGACTTTGCATGGCCAGTCCCAGAAAGAAGTAAAGCTGGGACTAAAGAAACGATAGCTGCAATCTGAGATCTCAGCTAGAATGTGTTTTCTGGGATTTCTGCACAAGGCAGCTGCCTCCACACATTGTGTTCCTGCTGCTGTTCAAGGGCATCATCAGCCCTTTCCTTTCATGTGGAGTGACAACAAAAACTACTGAAAGAGGTGATAATGAAAAGATATCCTTATGCTATGTCATGCCATTCCTCAGCCAAGTGCAATATATCCTGCACCAGCCCTATTAGGTGGACCCTGGATATCGCTACAGATTGGGTAGGTCAGGTGACTATTACATTTCAATACTGTGACTCCAGCACACATGCATTTCAAAAGGCATGGTTCAGGTCAGCAACCAGGTATCCAGCCTGGCAAAACAAATTTATCTCAGGCAGGGTCTTTGCCCTGGACAGGACAGAAGGTGCCAACCTGGGGAGAGAACGCTTGCACAAGCTTAATGCAAGCGAGGGGCCCGTGGCTATGTTTCTTGGCATGTAATGTTTTTCTGAACAACCACATTGTCAATCTAAAGCTCTCAAACTTCCAAGCTTAGCTCCAAGTACATCATTTTTCAGTATCTGACTTTTCCAAACTGTTTTGAAAAAATAAATAAAATGAACAACAACATTTCACTACATTCACATAAATTAATGATTTATTTGCAACATCAGTTTTATTTTCACAGCTTTTTGATTGGTATTAGTACACTTGACAGGTCCAATTTATATGCAAATCAGCTTACATTCACATTGTAAAGTAGAAAAACTTCATTTCTCATGCTTTTTATATCACTAAACTCTCACTAAACACTCTGCTCAGTCATCCGCCTCTCAAAAGCATCGATTTTCACTACAGATCTCTTGTTCTTCCTATCCATTAGCCTCACAGAGATATCAGGGAGTGGGCAAAGAGTCGTTTTTGTAGAGTTGCATGAATTCAAGTGTGGCTACGCTGTCCCACAAACATATGAGCACTATAAACAAGGGATCTTGCAGTGTATCTGTGTGCCAGATGTTAAGAGATTGAAAATGACGACACCAGATTTTCCAGTTCCTGCTTCTGGCTGTTTTTTGCTGTATCCTTGCTCCCAGCTCTAATTGCTGCCAGAAGCGTTTTCTTAGAAAGGGCTTCTCTGCTGGACAGCTCTTGTCCTGGTATATCACATGATTTGTTAACTGAGACTTGAAAAGCAGCCAGGATCGCTCCTGTAAATATTGACATAGATACAGGATCATCACTGCTCTTAAATCAAAAAGTGGAGGAAGGTAATGGCATATGGAACAGGACTCCATATTCAGACAGACCTGGACAGGAAAGGAAAAAGAACAACTCTCTTGGCTTCTCCAGATTTTGCCATCTGGAAAATGCCCCCTTGTTCTCGTGAAAGTCCTGATCTGAACCCTGATGAAATCAGTGAAAAAATTCCCATTAGTACCAATAGGTTTTGGATCAGGGGCTAATTTTCCATCTCTTTTCAGTCCATATCTGAACAAATCTCTCTTCATCATCTAGACCACCCAGTGTCTCTTCTGCTCCTTCCTTATTGTTATTATTTAAAGAGTTTCAGACCCGGACAGGAAAGGGTAAGCACATTACTTGTGGGAACAGCGCCTGAACCAGAGGAAAGCAGTAGGAGCAGATGCTGAGAAAACATGATGCGTACTTTAGCCAGTTGGATGCTCTTTTGTTCTATTTAGCCAATGAAAGCAGCTTCTTCTGTGAGAAAGGAGTCAGCCTTGAGAGCTCTCACACAAATCATGACTTGAAGAAGTGGTGTAGTCAGATGGCTGGTGCAGACCTGGGAATAGGGAAGCTGGGGCCTTGCGGCTTTCGGGAAGCCACAAAACCCTCCTGGCTCAACTTCCCCACTGTGAAAAAGGAAGAGTGAAACTTGTTCACTTACCTCAGAAGGCTGTGGCAAAGATCAGGGAGATCTTTGGAAAACGCCCTAGCAGTCATTCATACTGCAGTGAAGAAAACAAAAAAATTCAAAATAAAACCAACAAATACGATTTCTTCCAACCAAAATCTTCTCAAGAATGAAGGCATACATTTATAACCAAGAACCATTTAAAGGCCTGGCCCTTTCTGCGCAAACCACTTAGGACAACAAGCATATTTTTGCACACGGGTGTGCCTAGCTGGTCGTGGGAGCACTAAGAAACCCGAGCGGCCCTTGGCCGTGCCTCACCGCAGCAGGGTGGATCCGCAACGACTCCACGCGGCCCCCGACCGCCCTGCGGGGATCCGCCTCTGTGAAACGGCGCCGGGAGGAGACGGCGGGCGGAGGACCGTTAGTTTGGGCGGGAATCCCAAGTTTGGGCACGACGGCGAGGGCACCACGGCCGGGAAGCAAGCGCGAGTTGCAACCGCCAACCCTGCTCCCCCACGCC